GCCACAACCAGGAAAAATTTTTAAAAGTGATGACAATTGTTTCACAAAGTTGTTGGAAATCTTAAAAATCTTAATTTCACTATAATTTAAAGGTTTTTATTATTAACCCCTTGGGGACGGGTGATTCAGAAAAGCATTCGTATAAAATCAGAATCAAGCTGTAATTAACACTATGCGGTCCGCATATATTTAGTGATAAGTTTACTATGTAACCGGTTCCGTCTAACTTGCTCCGCTTTGTAAAATAGTATTTTCTAGTGGTAGCAAAATTTAAGTTACTTTTAGTTTAGTATTTTTCATTATAAGTAATTTTTTCTCCACTAAATATCAAAAATTATAAGTATGATATAAAATGCAACATTAAAGCATCAAACTACTGGTTACTATATTAAAAAGTAGGCGTAACTATCTTTCTTTAACGAATTTTACTATATAATTTGCTACCACTTTTTTAAAACTATTCCAGAAAGCGGAACAGTTGGCATCCCTGTACTCTACTGTCCCTTGACAAAATGTCACATGAATATCAGGTTGCAACGCGCGACATCTATGTGTTGTCACCGGTCACTAACGTTCGGCTTGGACATGGCACCAACGTGTTGTCACCGGCTGTTAGTGTATGGCTTGCGTATGGCACCAACGTGTTGTCACCGGCAGCTAACGTTTGGTTTTCACGTGACAACACGTTGGTGTCACCGGACATGAAAGTGTTAAATGAAAAACGGTAACTTCATTGTAGTCGTTGCTAATTTGACAAACTTACTTTGCTTTTACTTTACTTATTGTTAGTTTAATCATATATATATACAGAGATGCCAACTTGCTCCGGACACCAAATATATATTTTAAAGTGGTAGTTTATCAATTGTGATTCTTGGTTTAATAAATTCAATTTAGTAGATTTTTATCCACCACTATTTCTAAATAATTTGTAGACTTATATAATTCACCACTTTATTGTACCAATGTCGTGCTATACCTTTTAAAAAGCAAGCAAAAATAGTCAAATATATGCAAAATTTACTTTGTTGTTATTTACCGATGTTTTAATTATTTTGGCGTGTCCGGAGCAGTTGGCATCTCTGTATATAATCAATGTTAATTCAAAGTATAACTAAATAGTTTTATTTTGAACAAAGTAATGGTGAATTAAATAAATCAAACAATTATAACTCCGCCCACAAATAAACCGCTAAAGAAATACTTTGATTACCAGTTTTATCTTTTTACTCTGACTGATACGGGTTTATGCTGGCACGTATTTGTGACAGTTGTTATTGCTTAAGGCATATTTTTCCACCAGGTTTTATAATTTTTCAGACTGTGGTCGCCTTTGAAATGTAATTCCTCGGTTGACTTTGATCAATCGCCTAAAAGTAGTTTGGATGGCATTCGAGAGCTCTGTAAGAAATCAGAGTTGTGATATTGGCAAAACTGATGCAGAAGTGTTTCCATTTAGTGATTGTTCATCTTTGTGAAACTAAGTGATTTCTAACGTGACCCTTGAGCAAGCAATTTTCGTATCTTAGCAACTTTGATCAAGAAGATCTTAGCAATAGCTGCTAAATTTCTCATGATTTTATATTATTTCCATTTGTGTTAAATATAAATTTATTTATTTTACATATGATTGCGAAATTTTTATTTACTTATTTTATTGCAATTTTTTTATCAGGACATTGCTTCTTCGTGATCCGTAAGAAAATTAGAATTACTTTCCCCACCATTTACTATTACAGAGTATCAAAATGACTAATATGCAACATAGATTTGAGCAGTGAGAAAGATAATATTTCAACTCTTTAATTTACCATTTCTGGTAATAAAAAAAAATGGAAATGAAATTTAAAAAAAAAAAACTTTTAAATTGATGAAAAATTTCTGAAATTGTAGGCAAGAGACTTTGGGGTCGCAAAATTTCTCGGTAAATAAATTTTCGAAGCATTGCCTAGCAAAAATTTTTAACGTTTATTTTCTATCTGAGAACAAATAACAAAGTTATACGCTTCTTCTGAAAAAAATGGATGAACCTAACCAACGTTGTTTTTAAAACTCCACCTGCAATAAGTAGGCTAACTTTTTCAGGAAGGAAATTTCTTCAAACAGTGTGAGTCAAATTAAGTATTAACAACTAAGTTCTCGTTTTTTAATTATTTCTGCTAATAATTACTTATTAAAATTTTAAAACGATAATCTATCAATTTAAGGAGTGTTTAGCAATGGTATAACTTATAATCATAAATAATAAAGCACTTTTTTCAGCAGTTGGATGGGATACTTTAGTTTGATTTATCTCCCGATAAGGAAATATTTACAGTAATTTGTTCATAGAGGCATTTTTCAACAGAAAATATTAAACAAAGTTACTATTGGGTCACCCGGAAAGTTCATGCCAGTTTTCGAAGGGCAGAGCTCCCAAAGGACTGCAAAAAATACTCAAGTGGTAGTAAACTATCCATCAAAGCAATTTGAGGTTTTCCTTATTTCAAAACCATAATTTCAAATAATATTCATCCACTAACTAACTAATCAAGTTTTTCAGAGTACCTATCCATGAATGGATATCTGTTCTTTCATCTAAATTGAAGAATATGTGGTGGAAGGGGAGGGAGGTGCTGCATTAACATTAAGTTAAATCTCAGAATGAACAATAATTGATAAAATCAAGTCTGGGTCATACATAAAAATAAATCGCAAGTTGATACATAATAAAGGGAACAGATTGAAGATAAAGAAAAAATATTTACACTATTTACAAAAATAATATTCATCCAGTATGTATCAGACATCTATATTTGCAATAAAATTCCTAATATTTGTGGTGATTAGGAAAATTTAATGATCAATTTTCAAAAACAAGAAATATATTTTATAGTATACATTTTAAATCTTTCACTACCATCTACCACTTGAATATTTTTGGCGGACTTTTGAGAGCACCACCTATCGAAAATCGGTAAACTTTCCGGACGACCAAATATTAGGGGTAACTTTATTCTACAGGTTTCAGGATGTTTACTGAATGAGAAAGTAATGAAAGTGCATTTCAATTCTGTAACTTAGTCTTGAAATTATTTGGAGATAATAGCCTCTTGCCCTACTTTTTAATTTTATTTTATGACCGCCGTTGAACAGTCGACCCAATTTTTGGGTTTACGACAACTAATGTTCAACGCCGTAGCCTTGTGATTTTGAACCAATCCAGAAGACAAGGAAACTCCTGGATCGGTACCCCCCAGAGGTATTGATTTGTTTCTTGCCTACTTGAAACAATTTTGGTGGCGTCAATCTGTAACGCATTCTTTAAACCAATTTATGATTTCGCTTGGCCGGGATAACCTGGTTGGTAGGGCGCTGGACTCACGTTCGTGAGAATGGGAGTTCGAATCCAGTAGGCAGAAGACTCCCCGTGTAGTACATGGTGACTGGTGCTCGCTAAATTTGTCCGGTATATACCTATGGGAGTACTGAATTGGAGATAGATCGTTCTCTGGTTCAGGTCAAAATTATGATCGGTGAATGAATGTATTTCCACCATTTAACACGGACGGGATATATGGTTGAGGCAGAAGTTGAATTCCTGGCCATTGATTTCGCCGCAGGAAAACAAGAATCGCGACCTCTCTGTCTTAATGGCCAAAGACAACAACAACATGATTTTGCTTATCACTGATCAACCATGTGCAATATCACATGGCTTAAAATATTATAAATAATATAAAGTTTTTACTACATTATGAAATATTTTATTTGCTGATTTTTTTAAACTATTTACAATACATTATTTAAATTTAGAAAAATAAATATTACAAATATCACAATTTCGATAAAGAATTTTGATTCTTGATTTTTTGAGTTTTGGAATACTATAAATTGCTGAAAGACCACCATTCATAAGGAAAATGTATTAAAGGTAAAAGAGAACATGAAAATTGTAATTTTCAATTCTATTCAGTTTTTTTAAAAATTTATATCAAAATGTTTGTGGTAAACAAAGCTTGAAGTTTAAACTTTACATACTAATCTAATTAAGTTATTAGACATAACATTTCCGCATTCAAAAAGTTGTAAAATAAATGTTCAAAACCTTCCCTAAACTAGTATATATTTGTAGTGATTTTTTTAAAAATGTAACCGCGTCCGTTAAAAAGTTGCAATGTTTATGCGTAACTAGTAATTTTAAAATAAATGTTGTTGCTTTTAGTGTTTGTAGTTTTGTAATTTCATTTTAACCCCTTACCGATCGGTTAATTTTCAAGAAAACAGCCATAAAAGTGCCTATTTTTTGGCTTTTGTATTTGTATTACGTATTTGATTAAAAATATCCTATCTACAATTACTTTAAAAATATCCTGGTACTGCCATCTGGTGTGTAAAATGAGAAATAAAATGTTTTTCGGGTAAAAGAAATTAATTAGTTTTATTCTTATTGGAGCGTTACTACTGAACACTCCAGCCCGTCAATATCACGGGAGCGAGAAATAGAGGGCGAAACCTCACCTCGTCATTTTCACGGGAGTGAGAAGGAAGGGGTTGAAGTCTGGAAAATCAACTGATAAAAATATAGCATTTGTTTTAAACTTAAAAATTTTCTTTGTTAAAAGAGTCAATTCATAAATGTGAGAGATATTTTTAAATTTGAATTTAAGAAAGATGATCACAATAGATCTTTAAATTTTAGCTAAACTTGTTGGTCATACAATAAACTCCCGATCATTTGTCAGCGTTTCTATGCAGTTTAGAGAAGATTTGGAGCTCATAATCTGCAAGCTTTCCTTTCACAAAAGAAAAACTATTTTTAACACATAAAATGCTCGAAAAATACTGTAAACTACCAGTCTCAAGTCTGTAACGGACTCGGACTGAATCTGTGGATTACACACGGAATTTACTTTTTCATGGTAGTCTTGCCACCGATTATCATGTACAATCAAGAGTTTAGTACAATTTCAAAAGAATTGAAAATTTTAATTTAAGTTCTCTTCTATCCTTTAGACTAAGTTTTATATTTTTAAACTAATCACTCTGTAATTCTTCTCGTTGTCTATCAAGAACTACGATCAAGAGATTGCTCTTCAGGATGCAATCCACCTGCTTGTTATTTTTCTCACAGATTTTAAACAAGTTGTTGTTTTTCAGGTGAATTGGCACTCTCTCGCTCAGCTTTGCGCCTTTTCTCCCATCGAAGAAACCATGGTTCTGCGAGCCAAACAGAAGCTGCAGCAACTTGGGCAGAACCAAGTATGATTTGGCATATTAAATAACTGCTTGTTGTCTCCAAGACATATCCTAGTGAAGAAAAAATAAAATTAGTTACTGAAATTGCTATTTATGTCAATGTAATATGTTAACACTTTGAATACTCCGGTTATAGTAATCAGATCAGATTGAGAATAACAATTTGTCCACCTTTATCTGCTTAAATAATGAAAATGTCAGAATGAGAATTGAGTTCATTAAGAGAGAGAGAGCTTGTTTTTGAGGGCAGGTGAGATTAACACGTTCACGCCAGGAAAAGTGAAAATACTGGTACGGGAAAAGAGAAAATACTGGTAGAAGAACTATTTCAATATTAGATAATATTCAGGAGGAGTTAATCTATTCCCAACAATAACAATTCACTGTAAGGAAATTTATCACGGTGAAGAGGCAATTTAATCTAGAAATTACATCCGTTAAAAACAATTGGCAGTTATAGATTTTTATTATTCCGCAGATTTTCGGTTAATTTTGTCAACTTTTTAAAGGGCTCAACACGAATCAGCTGTAATAAAGTGGCGAATCTTATAAGACTTTGAATTATTTAGAAATAGTGGCGATCAAAATCCTTCGAATTCGAATTAAATAAACCGAGAATCATACACATACCTGCCAACTTTTACGCATTTGGCGTAAAATTTTATTTTTATATTTAAAGTGGTAGTAAATATATATTTTCTTTACTTTTAAAAACTTAATTTTTAAATGATTTTGATCACCACTATTTGTAAAAAAATTGAGCATATATATTAATATGTGTTACTACCAGGGTCGTCAGCTTAAGCTTTTTTCAAATACAGCGTATTTTTTGCTTAAAATTGAAATTTTAATTCCATTTCAATACCACTGGGAAAAATCATAATGGAAGGGATTAAAAGTTGGCAGGTATGCATACATTAACCCTTTCGCGCCGACTGTCACAAATACGTGACAGCATAAGACCGTATCAATCAGGGTAAAAATATAAAACTGGTAATCAAAGTATTTCTTTAGCAGTTTATTTGTGGGCGGAGTTATAATTGTTTGATTTATTTAATTCACCATTACTTTGTTCAAAATAAAACTATTTAGTTATACTTTGAATTAACATTGATTATATATATGTTTAAACTAACAATAATTAAAGTAAAAGCAAAGTAAGTCTGTCAAATCAGCAACGACTACATTTAAGTTACCGTTTTTTATTTAATTGCAACTTGATTCTGATTTTGCACGAATGCTTTTCTGAATCACCCGTCCCCAAGGGGTTAACAGACTACCGATCGAAAATCTATGTTAACTGTCCGGAGCAAGTAGGTATCTCTGGATTACGTAACCAAACAAACCGATCAATCTCAACAAATCACCCACTTATCAAAAACTTGTGAAAATTCTCCCCAGACGTATGCAGGCTGTCACCTGTGCTTAACACGTTGAATGCCATTGGGGTCACCGGTGATTGGCGAAGCCAAAATTATTAGAAACACACAATTCGAGTAAATTTTTAATTTTTTAATATTATTATCGTTACTAAAATGGTTTGAAGAAATTAATGCAATATAGAACACACAAAAATAGTTTTATTTACATACACAGGGATGCCAACTTGCTCCGGACAGCGAATAAATATTTTCAAGTGGTAGTTTATTAATTGTAATTCTTGGTTTAATGAATTCAATTCGGTAGATTTTTATCCACCATTATTTCTAAACAATTCGAAGGTTTATATAATTCACCACTTTTTTCAGATATGTCATGCTAAACTTTTCAAAAAACTATCAAAATCTATCTAATATTTGTAAATTTAGTTTGTAGTTATTTACCGTTGTGGTTAGATGGGCAAGCCACTTAAAATTTGCGTGGCATTCAACGGGTTAATAGAAGACCAGTATCGTATTAACATATGTGGCTCTGGATTCCTTGACTACCACAGAGGTGTCTAGATACTTTTGGCCAGATAGGGTATTTATAAGGTACAGTACCTTATAAGGCACAGTACCTGAAGATAAGGCTCAGTATCTTAACAAAGTTAAAGTTGTACATAACGGAGAAAAACAGGCATTTTTTACATCGCTTAAAAAAAATTGGTAACTCTATTATTTCATTGTTATCATTTATCTTGAACATCGAACATATTTCAATAATATCAAATTATGTATCAGGCTTTGAAATCTTTCAATTGTTGTATTTTTAAACTCATGGTTATTAAATGAATAAAAGGTCCACTTAATTTCATCACTTATTTGTATAAAGGTGTTTTTCTTGTTATCTCACACTATGAGTCTGGCGTGTTTTCTCTTCAAAAAAATAAAATATAGTAGTTTGAGTTTTTCAATTACATCTAGAAACAAGATGGGAATTTCTTTCATAATATATTAAAAATATTTATCTTTTAATCTGAAGTTTAACTAAAATGTTTTAAGAAAGCTAAAGTGGCATGTAACACAAAGGAATATCAGCATGGTTTAAACACGTATGTACTCAGAGTGGCCATCAACCGGAAAAAATTTAAAAAGGAGCAGACAAGTATTAGAGAAGCAAGTTATTTTTACTTAATCCTAGCAAATAAAGCGTATGGCCAAATTAAAATAAGTCTAAAAAGATGTTAAAACTGCCTAACTTAATTCCTATGAAATTAAAACCTTTAAAACTGATTTTTTTTTGTCACCACTTTCTAAATTTTTCCTAGTTGTGGCCATCCTGGAATTATTACTTTTCTCAGAAGCATTTTTTATATCTTTGTTATATTTGTGGTGGTGGTTTAATGGATACGCTATACGCTTTTTTTTCAATTAAAAATTTAAGAAAAAAAAGACATAAAAGTGGTCACGTGGTTTAAGTACGAGTAATCTTGAGATAGTCTGCGGACAACGAATGCTCACTTTAACCAAATAATATATAACCCGTAAAACTGTCATTATGCCAAGGACGCACGTGTTAGTTGGAAACGCCCAGAATCATTACCTGACAAAATAATGAGCTTCTTCAAACATTATGGTAAACTCAAATAATGGTCTCATGATTAATTATTAAGAAAAATGACAGCTATAAAAATATTACAAGTTAACGGCTATAATATTATGTATAAGGCATGCCATCAATTACTTCTGGTATTTTGTCGCTAATTGCGTCATCTGTCAATTATCTGTTGTAATAACTTCAAGAGAAAAGCATGTAACTAAAATTTAAAATAGACGTTATGAATGCATTGGATGTTGTAAATGAAATAACATTTTACCCATTAATTCATTAAAGACGATTTTTTATCCGACAATCAGGCAAAATGTGCTACGTATTATAAGAAGAGTAGTAGTACATTAAAGTTTTAATTAAGTAGATATTTTATTAATGCTTAAATTTTGAAAAGAAATCACAGTTACATGTTTTCAGATAAAAATTAGAAGCTATAATACGAAAAATTTAGTAAGGTGGTTAGTTACTTATCTCAAAATTGTAAACCTAGATCTTCATATATACAACAGTTTTTATAATTTTGAAAAAAAAAAAACTCGTTTAACAAGGCACTGACGAGTGTCAAGACTCTTGTGTCAAGCGCGGGGTTCGTACAGTCCTTAGAAAATTAAAAAAAGTGGCAGTAAAATTTTGAAAATAAAATAAATTTTAATAAATTTGTATTCATCACTATGCTTAGTATTTTTAAGTAAATGCATTTATTCGCGAAATTCCTTGTACTGAATTTAGCTCATTTGTAATAATTTAATAATTCTTAAATGGAAGAAATTTGCAATTAGTTAAATACTAATTAATTAGTATATTAGAAGTCAACCCCAGGAACCATTACGATTGATACTTAGATTGAGAAAATCCGATCAATAGAATGAAAGTTATTCAGGGTGATATTTTTTTTTATTTTGCACACTGTCTTCTTTCTCTAATATTTAAATGTGTAATATGCTGTCTCTTGTAGGAGTTGGGTATAGTATATAATCCTACGCTCCTACATCACTTTTAATTTTTTCTGTCTCTCTTATGTTCACGTTTTTTTTTCTTTTCTTTCTGATTTTTCTTTAAGCTGCTTATTGGCTGAATACGAATAGTTCGTTTTGTAAAATAAATCCTTAAAATAAGATAATTTTGCAACCATCTTTGAAAATATTATAGAATAGAACTGTTACTTAACATAAAAAACGAGAAGTCTGGTAGCAAAATTATTTGATTCCAACTTATTCCGGGAGAAATAAATTATTCATGATTGCTAGTTTTTTTTCCTAATTATAAAGCCAGTATTTTCTAGTGAAATTTCTTTCTAGGAAATACATATTATAACTATTAATAAAATTTTTGGTTGTCATAGATAAGTTAATTCTTTCTAAAATAAGTTAAAAAATTTAATTTTGCGTCCAGTTTTTTTTTCTTTTCATGTAAATTATAACCCAGGAGAGGTAATAATTACTGCTTACTTACCCATGAGAGGTGGGCCACTTAAAGACATGAATCCTCCAGATACTACTGATATACTATAAGCCAGTGCTACTTTTTCTGGACTATAAGCATCAGCAAACATAACTACTACCAGGCCAATATAGGCACCACAGCAAAATCCTAAGGCAGAAGTTGCAGCCATTAGAGTGATGTAAGTTTTGCAAAATGGTAAAGTAAAAGCAAAAGCTCCCGACATAAGAAGGCCTCCGATGAAATAATATTTTCTAGGACAAAACTGAAAGTCAGATATCCAGGCACAGAATATTCGGCCGATAAGATCAGTAAAAGCTAAAACAGACAATAAAGATGCAGCTTCACCTTGAGAAAGACCAAGAGTTGTAGCACGATATGGAAGGAAAATTTGAGTTCCTGGATACCCAAGGGCATGAAAAAACAATGTCACCGTCATTATGTAAAATCGGCTATTTTCAAATATTGATTTATCAATGTTCAGTTTCTTAAGGCAAGGTGAGAATTTCCACTTCTTTGGCTTCGCAACATCACATGTTTTTTCAAGAGTCTCACTAGAGTCAGCGCTAGTAAAGTGTTCTTTAGTTAGAATTGCACCAGTAGTAGGACCAAAACTGTATGAGCTCAAGTACATAAAGGATGAGGCTCTCGAGTTCAGAAGCTTAGGATTTAAGCCTAATAAATTTGGCAAGGATTCTGTGCTTACAGAAGAATTATAAGTTCGATCATTTTTTCTTGAAATATCTGCTAAATGAGGAGAAGATCCACCTCTCACTAATCGATCATTTAAAGTTTTAGGAGAAAAAGCACTTATGTGCATGTTAGGTCCAGAAGAATATAGTTCACTGTTCTTTCTACCAATTACAATTTCTGGGCTATTTAATTTTAAAGCAAGTGAATTGTCCAAAGATAAATCAAGTCCTGACTCAAAGTGAATATTTTCACTTAACATATCTTTATTAGGAATATCATCTTGAATAGAATTATCTCTATATTCCTCATCTGAACAAAGTGTGTCTTCTCCACAAGAGTCTTCTGCTTGAAGTGGTTCTATTTCAGAATTGTCTTTTATACTAGGAACTATTGTTGGCAGATGCTTTTGATGCCACTCAACTGGTTGCCATAATGACGCTCCAACACAAGAATGAAGAATCAGACCTCCCATTATAAGAAAACAACCTCGAACAGAATATACGGAAATAAGTTCAGTGGCAATCAATGGTAGAATTATACCACCTATGGCATTACCAGCCATTGTAAGTCCATTGGCTAAACCTCTTTTTTGGTAGAAATATTTGGCTATCATTGTAATACCAGGAGTGAAAGTACAAGTCAATGCTATACCTAAAATCATAAAAATTTTCTATTAGTTTACATTAATTTCATGTTGTCAAATTTTAACCTACGAATAGCCGAGGTTCAAAATTAATTGCCTGCCTACTGTTTATGAGTCGAATTGTTGGAGATGAAGATAACGTATTTCAAAGCATACCTTTCTTTTCATAAATTAAAATTAAAATTACAAAGGTATGCTAAAATGGGTCATTTCCTAAATAATTGAATATGGGAGTAATTAAAAGAAAGCTGGATATTGTTTTTAAAAAAAGGTGATTTAGGCCCTATACTGACCGCAATTTAAGTTTGTCCCCTCCAAAGAGGTGAGATTTAGCCGCCATCATAAATTTATTGACAATGAGAGGATGCCAAAGAAAAGGTACGCTTGAGCATCATATAGTAATATTAGTTATTAAGGTAAGTATCAGTACAAAACTATTCATCCCATAGATTTTGATATGATCCAATTCGATTCAGAGTAAGAAAATTACAAAGGAAATAATAACTCAATTGTCTATAGATATGTATTTCAGGCGTGCAAATAGTTGTAATCAAACTTTGTACTTTCTTACGCTTGATACTTACAAAATCAACTATAACTTATGAACTATTAGTCCCATCAACTTGGCTTTGTGTCATTCGATTCAGAGTATAAAAAACATCATCGTAAACAATAACTCAATGGTCTATATAGGAATATTTAATTTTTTCTCCAGTTTTTGACTTTCTCTCTTCCTAAGTATACTCAGATAGTGGCTTAAGCCAACGCCTCCTATAACTGAAAGCCTCCACACGGTTTTTTATAGGTAGTCCGATCAGACCACTGTGAAGGCTATCCACTTTCCGAACGAGTCACTTAATACAAAATCTAGTTAAAATAAGAAAGTGGTAGCAAATATATGACTAAAAATTTGTTTTATTTATGAATATTATTGGTTTGCCTTACTCACTTGTCAAACCACTACAGGTTCAATTCTCAAATATATATGATCAATTTCTCTCAATTACTTTTATAAAAGGTTTTGGGTTCATGCGCACAACTGGTTCACTTTTTAAACAGTCTGCGCGGACTACTTATGAAAGACCGTGTGGAGGCTTCTTGATGTAGGAGGTGATGCTTAAGCCTGCCAAGCCGCAAACGTCAGGTTTCAATATTGTGCCGGAACCCCAATTTTTAAAACAAGTTCCAGCTTTCCTTTAGTTATTTTGGCAGCAAGCTTTTTTTTTTTTTTGACATGGGAATTGGTCTATGATTAGAGCTGGTTAAAAAATGCGATGGAATGATATAATTAACATAATTTTTTAAAAAGTAGTTATCAAGTTTTTTATCTGGAATATTCAGCTACGCTTAAAGCTGGAATTTTTACAGGTCCTTTTCAGTTGTCAAGTTGGGCATAGTAAAAAATATATTAAGTTAATTTAGGTACCATAAAAAGGAAAAGCTGAGTGGATAAAGTGTGTTACATTTTCAGAGTAGCTACAATCAGGGTATGAAGAAATTGTTATCTGTTTTAAAATGAATGGGGTATTATTGAGGCCCTTCCTATAAAACGGACTGTGACGTGTGTGTGGCTGAACTAGTACGCTTGGCCAAAGACGACACCACTGAAAAAACAAGAAACGCACCCTCTGCCTTAAAAATTCCCTTGATTTCAAGCAGGCTTGCTGGTATTGGCAAATGGCATAAGTAACAGCAACAACAAAGAGTAAAAAGGAAAACAAACATTGTATCAGAACTATTTTGTTATAGATTTATTCGAAGGCTAATAATCCTTTACCTACTTTATTTATGTCTACCTAATTTGAAATAAAAATTGTGCAAGCATACTCAAAGTTAATGTAGATTCGTGGTCAATCAAATAGTATTGCATTTTCTGTGGTTTATAATATTTTAGGAACAAGTATTGCCTGACCGGATAGTCAGAACATTGAGCCCGAAAGTTAAAACGTTTTTTTTTCATTGTTATTCATGAATATTCAGTAAAGTGTAAAAAATAACAAGTTTCCTGAAATCAGAATAATCCAAACAATGCCAACAAGCATCAATATACTGGAATTAAATTTTTACTTAACCACCATTATTAATAAGATATTTCCAACTTCATAAATTTCACCAGGTAGCGAATCGTAAATTGAGCAAAGAATATAAAACAGTATAAAGAAATAATAAAATGTATAAGTTGCTCTTTTAATTACTCTTTTCTAAGCACTTTTTATCCACCAATTTTTGCTGTTTACTTAATTAAACATTGAATTCACGCTTCATTATGTAGATACAGTGTGATTACAAAATAATTTTACCTACATATTGACACCCTGGGAAGCATACCGTTTGCGTGAACAGAATTAATTTTTGTGTATGGGTATTATAATCTATGTGCCCAAAAATTATACTAAAAACAAATGGGTAGCTTCCACAGTTACAAAGTTTCGAGTATGGTTAATAGCTCCCCACCTTTTAAAGAACCCATTTCCAAATGGTTAGGAAATCCTGGCATATACAAAAAAGTAAAATGATTTTTTTTAAAAAATAATCATTTTTATATTAATAATCTAATTTTTTTCGCAGAAATAGATTAATCCTTCTCTTCCTAAATAAGTATGTACTGTGAAGAAAGTTGGATTAATATTTTAACTGGTCTGTTAAGAAACTGCAGTTTTAATTTCTTAAGAAAATCAATAAATTTATACATTTCTCATATTGTTGCTTGCTGGTTTTCAATTATTTTAAAATGATATATTAAATAACGTGAAAGTTATTACCATAAGCCGGATAATAAATTGCTTAAAATGATTGTTTTAATAATTGATGATGCTTCTTTTCAAATAGTATCTTCAATTTCTTAGTTCGAAGAGACCTTCCTTCGGGTTTGAAAAGAGATTCTTCCGTGCAGTTTATTCCACGGTTTTTTCTACTGTGGAAGAATCTTACAATTTTTGTGCTCTAAGTGACATTTTAGGGAGTTTATATGCAATTTATTTAACAAAGTATAGTAACAGTATTAAGGTATTTACGAAATTTAAATTTTTTTTTCACCTCTTCGAAAGTCACATGGTCTTCACTAAATGGAAAGTCACATCTATTTCACTAAATTCTTCATTCGAAATGAAAAATATTAAGCTGGGAATTTTCTAAACAATTTTTAATAAAATAATATTACTGCATTGATTTCGCAGGATTTTTTTCAAATTTGTTATTTATTATAACCTTTTTTTAAAAAAAAATTAGTCCTTAGTATGTTCTTAATAACGCTTTCGATAATTTAATTCATATAAATTATTTTAAAATAATAATATGTCATGTTTTATTATGTAAAAAAATTAGTTGCATAAGTGCAAAAAATTTGTTAATAAAATAATTTAATAAAGATATCCAGTAAAAATTAATATCTTTTACTTATATCTCTATCATACATATCCATTCACCCGGCAGCTTTTAAGCGCCACAGTGATAGGGCAATTTCTTTCCAAAATTTAATAACCTTTCATCTTCGTGAGGGATGAAAGTGCATATATATCAAGATGGAAAAGAGTAAAACTGGTAACAAATACATTTCCTTTTTAGCCTTTTTTCGGGAATAATAAAATATCCATAGCTACCACCTTTTTTTTAGCGGATACAATACATAGATTGAATCGCTTCTTCCTCGAAAAATAATTAATAGCAATTAATTGTTTATTGTCGAGAATAGATTTTTTCTCTCGAAAATTATCTATTATTAAAATAGTTCTACTGCCAGTGCTTTCTCATTTCAGTCTCGTTTTCAGTCCAGACCCTGCCTTCGGATCGGTATCGTCCTTACCAACTGCTGATATTTTTCTTATTACTGGATCTTGTCAAATAATATCACTATCATAAACACAAATACTCCTACCCATTTAGGCCCACATCACTTACCATATCTATCATCCCCGATCTTACTCTAGTATCTTCTCACCTTTATCCAAACTTGGTTCCACGACTAGAAAATGGCTATTTCTCCCTCCACAAGTGCAACTATTAATTTCTCCAACAAACGTATCTCACCTCCTATTCAGTTAACTCTCTTTAACACGTTGAATGCAGAGATGCCAACTTGCTCCACTTTGAAAATAATATTTTTCTAGTGGTGACGAAATTTAAGTAATTTTTAGTTCTGCATTTTAAATTTTAAGTATTATTTCAACCACCACATATCGAATATTCAAAGTAGCATATGAAATGCTACTTTATTGCATGCGATTTCTTCCATTGTCAACATTACAGGCGCCCACGGGCTCAAGCTCATATGAAGGAGACATTTGTCCGCTTCGCTGACAGACACTCCGTAAGAAACACCAGTTCAAGTTCAAGCAGTGATTTCGTGGTGACTATTTTAAAAAGTGAGCGTAATTATCCTTATTTTTCAGTTTTACTATTCAATTTGCTACCAATTTATTAAAACATTTGCAGAAAGCGGAGCAGTTAGCATCCCTGTGAATGCCACGCTAATTTTACGTGGCTTGCCCGTCTGGCCACTCTATAAATAACTGCAAACTAAGTTTACAAATATGCCGGCCAGTTGGCCGAGTGGTTAGCGTGCCTGACTGTGAAGCCAATGGCTGTGGGTTCGAATCCCGCTCTGGTCATGGATGTTTTTCTCTCTCTGTGTTGTCTTCTGATGTGTGAATGTATGAATGCGGCACACCCTATGAACGGGCATTTGTGGCAGTGTGGCTTGTGTAATGTTGCTCATTACCGTCCCACTGGGTAACGATAAATGATCAACACTTCCGGCATCTTCTAAGGCGAAGAACGAAAGTTCAGTCTCTGCCGTTATTGAAAAAAAAAGTTTGCAAATATTACACAGATTTTGCTAGTTTTTTAAAAGGCTTATCATGATATATCTGAAAAAAAGTAATGAATTATATAAGTCTACGAATTGTTTAGAAATAGTGGTGGATAAGAATCTACTGAATTGAATTTATTGAACCAAGAATCACAATTAAAAAACTACCACTTGAAAGAATTTATTCGCTGTCCGGAGCAAGTCGGCATCTCTGTGTATATAAATAAAACTATTTTTGTGTCTTCCATATTGCATTAATTTCTTCACACCAGTTTAGTAACGATAATAATATTAAAAAAAAAAAATGTACTCGAATTACGTGTTTCCAATAATCTTGTCTTCGCCTGTCATCGGTGACCCCAATGGCGCAACGCACAAACTCAGTGCCGGTCACCGGTGACCCCCATGGCATATAATCTTTTAATGAAAAAATTCCCCAAGTTAATTCCCTCAAAATTCTCGGTACTTACTACACATTAAATATTTCTTTCTACTGCCATTTCCAATACCTAAAAAAAGTGTTTAGAAAAATTAATGCACTCTATCACGCAATGGGGGCCCCGAACATATTACCTCATTCAGATAGTAAACGCTATCATCAGAAGTACGTTAGAGTATGGCAGCCCAATCCTCTTCTCGGAGTCAAAAATCACATCTCTGAGTAATTGAAACAATCTATAACTCTGGATTTCGAGTTGCAACTGGCCTCCTACGTTGGACACCAATCCCTATTCTGTACGAAGAAGCTGGCATTACTTCAATATCGCACAGACTATTTTTAGCAGCAAAATATTTTTACCTCAGCCTCTGGTCCCTTAACTCTCACTCCCCAATGAATCACCTTTTCTATCAATACCATTTTACCAGATTTAAAAAAAAAATTCCAAGTCTTCCAGATCACCTGGAAAAAAAGTGTCTCCGTAATGAGTTTTTCTCTGACAGATATACGGAACTACCAAATTTTGATTTCTTCGATAGCAGCAAACTAAGCAGCGAAATAGCTATGCGTACCCTCTTTCATGATTATCTTACAACTTCAGCTCTTCATCATCATCAACTCAACCAATCCATGAATTCAACTCCTCTCAACTCGAAGCACAGAGGATAAAAGCGAGTAGCACAGGTCCTCTCCACCAACTTCACCAAGTGAAAAGTTGATAAAATTATTCAAAAATCTAAAAATTTAGTTTATAGCTCTTTACCGTTTTTTAAAATGATTCGTGGAACCGGAAGCAGTTGGTCTTGCACTTCAATGACCAACACAACAAAGGAAATTTTTCAAGCATCGTCTAAGCCCACATAACAGATAATAGTTTCTGTTTATCACTGTCATTTTCCTGTAACACTTTAACAGATATTTTAGATTGCTTTAGATGAGTTGCTATCTGCTTTAACTACAATTGGATTTTCCACCGATCCCTCAAAATTATTATAATGCTGTATGAGTTTTTGTCATAATATGTATTTCAGGTATTTGAAAAAGTTGGCATAAAACATTCCTTATCACCGCAATAACTCGATAACTCAACGCATGTAAGGATTTAAGTTATGGCTGAGCCGTGGTAGCCAAGAGGTTAGAAAATCGGCCTCTGGTCCGGAGTGGCTGAGGTTCGATTCTCGACTCTGCTAAATCTCACCAAGTATGTGCGATATACGAACTCATGAAATCGTAATAGATCGCGGAGCAGTACCATGGATATACAGATCTGGAGAAAATTTCCTTCCCCTTCACATCTATGTCTAAATTGAGGAATTGGCTTCAAGAATGAGTGGTGCTGCCCTCTATCCGTAGAGTTTTGAGCCAAGACGTATTACTTCCACCCTTGCGGTGCTCTCTTGTCAAACGAAAGGCCCATCTGTCTCTTTTAATTTGCGAAATGCCAAATGCTGGCGAGTTTTGTCCAAGTGTCATTAGAAACAACAAACAACATCAGAAACAACAGTATGATATGGCTTGGGAGAAGATTTGTAATATTTAAGTACAATTATTGGTTTGTTCCACATTTTTACACTATTGATAAGCGGTAATATACTGTTTGTAAAGATATTCCCTTGAGAAATCATTTACGGAAATAAAAGAATAAATGAAATGACTTTTTTATAAATAAATAAATTAAAGAAAATAAATGGAAATCGTTTTGTTTTGTAAATAAATTTCTGGGAAAAGTGAAAAAAAAGCATTTTTACAACACAATTGCAATGAAAAATGCGTGGAATTTTTTGACAGACATTTTAATAAAAGTGATAGTTTTCATCTTTTATCATTATTACCTTGAAGAACTCCGTAAGAAATATAAAGATATTCGAGACTTGGAGCAAAGGAGGACATGGTCAATCCAAAAAATCCAAGAAGACCTCCAAAAATCGCAACTCTTCGTGGTCCAATGGATTGAGCTAGTACACTTGCTACTGGTGCTGTAAAGATAAATATTATCTTTTAAAACAAATCATTAACAATGAAAAGCTTATTTTCAAAATAACAACAATAATAATATAACGCTATACTTTTCGACGAACAACGCTATACTTTTCTATCATGTTTCTTTATATTTTTTAAAAAGATTTCTTGTCTTTCTCCTCAATCCATTTCAGAGTGTCTGGAAAACTTGAAATGGTGGTGACTAACATTTCCAACCTGTCAATTCTTTAAGCTAAACTAAGAAATTTGTACTTAGGATTCGGTTTGCAAGGTTTATAAAGTACAACGAGTTAATTTTACTACATATCTGGATTCTGATCTTCATGATCTTCCCTGAAATCAGAGCACAAAGATAATTTTCCCTTTTAAAGAGACGGCAAATGGGATTGCAGTCGTTCTACCATACTTTTAAGATGTGTGTACAACTTGTTATTTTGCCAATTCCAATCAGGGTACTAGTAGTACTTAATAATTAGAAACCATCCAAAATCAGACGTCTCATCACATTTCTCACAGTAAAAGCTTGTTCAAGTCATGCGTCACTTAATTAATGTTGATTCTATTCCCAAAACCATTCAAGAGAATGCTACTATAATACGGAAAAGGGTTTTAGAGAGATTACAGTATTATAAACTGCTGAAACTTAAAAACACAAAATGCTTTTTACAGGTGACTTGGAAAAAGCTAGAATTCCAGCATGAGGCGTAAGTTTTTCTGCCCAGCACAAATCCCCTAGAATTGCTGTATTTGGACATCCATTTACACCTTGACTTGCCTGTCAGTAAAACTGATATGAGCTCATTTAAGATTATGACAATCGTTTAATCAATTTTTGAGATCGGTTGTCCCTCGGAAATTTGAACACGCGTGTATACTGACGGTTCACTGATGAATAGCGAGGAGGGAGCAGGCGCCGGAGTTTACAGTGATTTACAGTTTTTTTCTTTTACACCCCTGTTTGTGCTCCCCTTTCTCAGTTTGACTGTGAGATTGAAGCAATCTATATTGCCCTGAAGCAATTATTGATACAAAAAATGCCTTCAGTAGAGCTGTGATTTTCTCCCTCTCCAATTTCTAGTAAAAAATAGCATAACTGATAACTCTCATAACTCCTTCAACTACAAAAATATGTGAAAGAACAGTCCAATTTTGTTACTTTCGAGGTGGATACCCTCTCACTGTGGAATCCCAGGGAATGAAAAGACTAATTTTCTGGCATGGAAAGGAATACCAATCTTACCAAAGCACTTCTACTAAGTTAACGAACTTACTTACAGTGAGGAAGGAACCCGACACGAGCTGTTATCGCAGGGACGACCGGGTCATTGTACTAACTGAGATATACTTTTATCATAACTTTTGTATGAAATTATTAAGCACTTGTAAATAATTCAACTAACACTCGTTCATAATTATTTAAGCTTTGTAAATAATTTCTTATAATTTACTATTGGTTGCACATACTTTACAATTTGATTTTATTTTACTTGTCTTGTGCTAGAGTTTTATACTAATCAAATTAACTCTTGGCACAATGGAAATTTTCTTCTACCCTTTTTCTTCTACAACTTTTGACTCTATGAGTTACTAATTATACAGAGTATTCCAAAGTTATCTTTACATCACCTGGCTTGAAATTGATTTCAGACTGGAAGTGCTTAAGGCCACCAATGGTGCGCATGTTGAAGTATACTAAACTAAACTTTATTAGTTGCAGTAATACATGCAAAAGACAGAATATAAATATCTTGTTTATTTTCGAAGTTATGAATTTTTGAAGTTGTAAAGAGAATTTTGGAACACCCTGTATATCTTCCTAGAATCAGTTAGTGTTGAGATATCCATAATATCCAGCTGGGGATTAAAGACCAACATTCCCATGAACAGATACGTAAATACTGGCAGCTGAATCATATCCTTCTTAAGAATTTTTTGTCTTGAAATAAAAAATAAAAAAAATTGCCGCACTATATTAGACAAATGGCCATTTTCTCTTGCCATCGTGACTCTTGGACGACCTTGCCCATCACCTTCTACATCAAAAAGCCTCCACACGATCTTTTATAAGTAGTCCGCCCAGACTATTTAAAAAGTGAACCAGTGGTGCGCATGAACCCAAAACCTTTTATAAAAGTGAGAGAAATTCATCATATATATTTGAGAATTGAATCTGTAGTGGTTGACAAGTGAGGCAAACCAATAATATTCAAAAATAAAACAAATTTTTAGTCATATACTTGCTACCACTTTCTTATTTTAACTAGATTTTGTATTAAGTGACTCGTTCGGAAAGTGGATATCCTTCACAGTGGTCTGATCGGACTACCTATGAAAAACCGTGTGGAGGCTTTCAGTTATAGGAGGCGTTGCCTTGCCCAGGATTTCCCTTGATGGATCCGGTATCCTGGAACTGTTTCCATTAGTTACACACGACACCGGGCGCAAAATTGAATTCTCTACAAATCTGAACCTGAGATTGGCAGCCTCCCCACAATTCACCACCTCATTCCATCATCTAATCCTTAGTGGTTACTCATTTTTACTGTTACAATTTGAATTTAACCTATTGCTGTAAAACAACACCAAGAAATTCGCGAGGTGTGCTAGCGAACGAAATACATCTTGACTTGACTTGATATGTATTGTAGCAGAGTACGTGCCCGCGAAGCGGGCATCTCACTCCAGACCTGAAAGCGAGACAGAAAAGAGAAAATACTGGTAGGAGAGCTATTTCAATGTTAAAAAAATATTCGGGAGGAGTTAATCTATTCTCAACAATAAACAATTCACTGTTATAAATTTTTTCTCACCGAAGAAGCAATTCAATATAAATATTGTATCCGTTAAAAAAATGGTAGCTGTGGATTTTTATTATTCTTCAAGAAAAACCAAAAATTGAAATTTATTTGTTACCAGTTTTTACTCTTTTCCGTCTTGATATATATGGGCTTTCAGCCCTGTCTCACTCCTTCTTCTGATGTTATAATAACATACCCTCCAACTTATGAGGATTTTGAAAATAATTCTTTCTAGTGGTAGCGAACCAAAGTAGAAATTTTTAAAGCAAATGGATCTCTCATAAAACTTTTATCAGAACTTAAGAATCTAGCCATATGGCCTGCACTTTTATAAGTAATAGTGGACAAGTTAAGCTAAAATTAATTTTTTTTAAATATTAAGACATTAATTTTGCTACCGTCTGAAAAGAAGATTTCTGAAACTACGGAAATTCCGTAGCACTTGGAGGGTATGTAATAATCGAGACTAGAGGGCTTTGGCAAAGAAAAGGATTCGAGAATCGGCTGTGAAGCCTCTGTTAAATTACAGTCAAATCTGGGTATAACAAATACGTCTTAACTTACGAGCGCTTATAAAGCCTGTTTCTCTACTGCCTCCGCTTGCACACACGTTTACGCTCGCGTATTTGATGTATAAGATTTGCATTTTTGTCTAAAAGCAGTGGTTTTAAATTCAGCTCAGTTCTTTTCATAAAAATCGAGAAAATATGCAAATTCTCTTAATTTACTTCACCAGTGTATTTATCGTTACATATTATTAAACTAAATATCTCAACATTATATGAAGTCACTCAAATATGATATGATCAGTAACTTAAACTAAAAAACTAAACTAAAAAAAAATGAAACTGAACTAAAAAATAAAACTAAAGTCTTAGCTAACACTAGAAAATATTAAAATATTGCAAGCATAAATCTCCCTCCACTTTTTTTCTTCGTAAATATTTACATGATGGTTTATTTTCATAACAATGGTTTGAATTGGTTTAAATGAAGGATTTCAGTAAATAATAAAACAAAGTAATTTTAAAAGAAGTATATCAACTTGCAAAGAATATTTTTGCAGTTAAATGCATTAAACAAAATTGGAGAAGTATTTTTAAATGGTGATTAGTAAGAAATTTAAATTAATACTGACTGAAAACCTTTATATTAATCAAAAATGTTGAAGTAGTTATTTCCCAAATGAGACGCCAAAATAACGTCAAGAAGAGAGTGGGCTATAATATCATTTTCATGTTCAACTCAATTGGCCCATTTTTTTTGTCTGAAGAAGTGATAAAAAGAGCGAACGATTCTTGTGAGGAAAAAACCCTTTACGTCAAGTGTTCCAGATGGCTCTTAGAGCTCGCGTCACGGTAATAAAAGCTGCGACAAGTGACTTTCTTTTTTTGACAACACACTACAAAAATATTGCCATTTATGCGTAAACAAAAGATAGATTCACTGTATTGAATTTTGAAACAATATTACGCATTGATTGTTCATATGAAATACATCCTTTTTTAAGGTGTCTGCAAATTGAAAAAAAGAGCCACTTATTTAAAGACTTTCTCTTAAGCTATTTAGATCTTTAAATTGATGATATAATTTCTTAGAATACGTTTGAATAATGCCAAAGAAAATTATTCAAACATTGAAGTGGATTGGCTATAATTCGCAGATAATTTTAAAGTTTCACTTTTTGTATAATACTAGATTGAATATATTTCATTTGCTTACAATCACTAAGAATTTAGTACTTTTTTTAAATTTTTTATCATAATTTTGCTTCAAAAATAACTTTTAATTTAAATATTAGAGGTTTGAAATTAATATCTTATATCCGCATACACACTTATTGTAATCTCATTTACTCATCACACTTACTAGTTTCGAAATTAACCCTTTGCATTTCAAGTGCTTGACCCATTCCAAATAACTGTTTTTTGGGGAAAACAAAACATTTTGAGATGATGTAAGAAGTTGTTATACCTTAAATGGGGTTACATTGCTCAACAGGGGTAACTTTGCCCATTATCTAAGAAAGTTTGGACTACAAAATTGTTCATTAGCCTTTGAATATTCTGCAGATAATCAGGGCTGTTGTTGCATAGGGTGGAATTAAGAACCAAAATAACAGCTAGTTAATCATATGATTTCTATCCGTATAACATAGTGGCTTTGAGGTATATAATTAGGAATTTTTCATATTTAAT